TGTAAACACGTAAGGGAGTGTTATGAGGTTCTTATATAATTTTTTTTGTTTTGTTATTTTTTAACCTTTATTGCAGCAATGTCTGACCAAGGTGACGGTAGTGGAGCTATCCATGTCTATGCGGTTAGATTGCGTGAGGCTCAACAAGCTGACTTTACACGTTTACACTGCACTATGGATAAAGTGACAAAAACATTAGAGCGTATGGATTTAAGGTTGCAAGCTGTTGAAAGAACCACACCGGAGCGCAATGAGAGGCAAAGAGGTGATAGAAAACAAATACCTCAAACTGATAATTTCGATGATGAATACGAGTTTGAGGATGATAATGTAACTCTTGTTGGAGGAGTTATACCTAGAGGAGGAGGTAGAGGAGGTCACAGTGTTGGTAGAGGTAGAGGAAGGATGTAGGATAATGCATTCTATGATAGAAACCGTGGTGATGATGACTTTGTAGATAGGAACTTAGGAAACATTAAATTGAAAATTCCTAATTTTCGAGGTAAATTAGATCCGAAGGCTTATTTCCAATGGAAAAAGCAGGTTGAACTTATCATTGATTGCCATCAATTTAGTGAAGAAAAGAAAGTCAAGCTTGCCATTGCTCAATTTTCAGATTATGCTATAGCTTGGTGGGACCAATTGGTGACTAATAGAAGAAGGAATTTGGAGTATCCAATGGAGACTTGGCGTGATCTTAAGCCTATCATGAGAAAGAGATTTGTGCCTAGACATTCTCATAGAGAACTTATGCAAAGACTTCAGCGTGATCTTAAGTCTATCATGAGAAAGAGATTTGTGCCTAGACATTCTCATAGAGAACTTATGCAAAGACTTCAGCGTGATCTTAAGTCTATCATGAGAAAGAGATTTCTTAAACAAGGTAGTAGGAGTGTTGATGACTACTATAAAGAGATGGAAATGATCATGACAAGAGCTAATATAGATGAAGATATGGAGACTACTATGGCATGTTTTTGGCTGGTTTGAACAAGGATATAGCATATCGAGTTGATTTGCAGCCTTATATGGAGTTAAAAGAGATGGTGCATATTGCCATCAAGGTGAAAAAACAACTCTAAGGAGAAGGAGCAACAAGGTATGTTTCCAAACCTTATTCTAATCCTAGTTCTTCTTGGAAAAGGGATGGAAAGCATGATTTTAAAGTGGAAATAAGGTTGTTCATGATGGTGGAAAGGTAAAGGCAGATTCGGGTTCTAAAGATAAATCCAAAGTCGAAGAGCCTAAGTTGAGAAATAGAGATATTAAATGTTGGAAGTGCTAAGGTGTAGGTCATATCAGCAAAGAATGTCCAAATAAGAGGATTATGACCTTAAGAAATGATGAGATAGTGACTGATGAAGAAGGCAATAATGAGAGAGATGATAGAGAGATGCCAGAAGTGGAGATCGTAGTGACGGAAGTATTGAGGAGCCAATTAGAGGTGATTTGCTAGTTACTAGGCGTGCTCTTAACACACAATTGAAGGAGGATAGTCATGAGGAGCAATGAGATAATTTGTTCCATACAAGATGCCATGTTCAAGGCAAGGGCATGTAGTGTGATTGTAGATGGTGGAAGTTACAACAATGTTGTGAGTACACTCTTGGTTGATAGATTGGGGCTATCTACTACATCACACCCATGACCCTACAAACTTTAGTGGCTTAATGATTGTGGTGAGGTTAAGATAGATAGACAATCTATCATTTCCTTTTCCATTGGTAAATATCATGATGAAGTGTTGTGCGATGTGGTTCCAATGCATGCTGGAGATATTCTACTTGGTAGACCATGGCAATATGACCGAAGGGCTATACATGATGGATACCTCATTAGGTACTCATTCACAAAGGTTGGGTGGAATGTGGGTCCCGAATATGTATGGCACAACCCAAAGGGGGGTGAATTGGGTTTTCTAAAAATAAAAAAATTTTAACTTAAAAACAAAACTCAGAATTCTGTTGCAGCGGAAAAGTAATGCACTTGTGAGAATAAGTTATTGATTAGAACTTCCTCACAAAACTCAGAATTCTGTTTCAACTGGATAGACTTGAACATTGGTGAGGGAAACCGAAAGCTCGCTCCGGTTCTCGGCGAGAAAATGTAATGCACTTGTGAGATTAAGTATTGATTAGAACTCCTTCAACAATGCCCTAGCAATGCAGAGAAAATAGAAAGACTAGTATTGCAACAGTACAAACTTTTCGCATTAGAAACTGCTGCGAGCACAAATTTCTTAAGTGCAATATTCAAGAAACTACTTAATGAAAGAAAGCTATTTGTGATTATAGAAACTTCCTTATAAAGTTTAAATATATCGAAAAGATACGTCGAGCTTAATGTAGAGATCAGTTATTAAATTGCTAAACTACTTCACAATGCTCCGGTCAATCAAGATTAGAAAACTTATTGAGAATATCTCCAAGTTAGGGAGAGATATACTAGCCTGAAAAAGAGAGAGAACAAATTCATAAAAAACTTCTATATTCTAATTTTAACACAGGGAAGTCCAGAGTTCTAAGGTGTTAGAAAAGATAAATGTATTAATATTCAAGTTTCAGAACCATCAAAACCATTAAACAAACTTTCAGCATTTGCCTACAAAATATAAAACAAAAAGCATGAGTAAAGATAGTATCGGAATGGCAAGAACATCAAAGTAAAAAATAAAAGAATCAACAGGGCATACGGCGCACCGACATCTTTGATGTTAGAGAGAGTGGTTCAGCACTAACTCGCCTACAATCCACTCACTAAGACTTCATCCTTCTGATGATCACTAGATATCTACATTAGTCCTATGACATCTTTTCAAATGGGTAGAGACAACCACATATACAAGGTAAATAGATCAAGCTGCCTATAATCTAAACACCCTTTCGTAACATCCACTCCCTAAGACTCATCTTGAGATCCTGAACTATGTTATCTCTTTTCAAGGGTAAGAGACAAACCAACAATACAAGGTAATAGATCAACTCCTAGATCTACACTTTGTCCCACTAGATTTTCCAAAGGTTTTAGCTAACTTCAACCCTTTCTGTTTTTGGCAGAGAACAGAAACTCAATTCAAGATATTAGAATATCTCTTACGGAGAAGGTCGCTTGATAACCTATTTCACAATAGCTTTTCACCTAAGCGATTACACAGAAGTTTGTCAAAAGAAAACCTGTCTACTAAAGATTACAAATTCTAAATAGATAGACAGAAATGTAAATATAAGCACAGAAAAAACAGTTTTTAGAAAATCATTTTAGAAATCAGAACTGTTTTTCAAAAGAAGTTGTTATGAAACATCTTATCTCTTTTAAAGAGAAAACGTAAAGTATTAAGATGAAAAGAAAATAAGGGGGTAGAGAGTAAGTTTTGAGAGATAAAAGATATAATCAATGGACGAATACTCTTAAAATAAAAACTCTTAAAACAAAAACTCTTTTCTCCACGTCTTTTAAAGACAAAATGCCATTTTATAGAGAGGGATGAGAATCTCGTATTTAGAAAGTGAAATCCCTTTTTTCAAATCAGAATATTGACTTTTAATGTCATTATTAGGTTCTATTCTTAGACAAAATTCAAAAATAGTCCTTTTTTTTTTGTGTTTGTTTTATGTCTTCGCTTTATTTAAGTTTTGGCAGTACTATTTTTTTTTTAAATTCTTTGAGTCAGTTTGAATTTCCCTAAATTGTTTTTTTTTAAGTGTTTCTTTCTTTCCTAAAAATTATTTCTCAACTTAATCGTTTTTGCCTCCTTACTAAAAATTGCTCTGTCTTCTCTCTTGCCCTCTTGC